CACACACACACACACACACACACGAACACATGCCCGCACACAATTAAAAATAAATCTAAAAATTATATACTGGTTTCCCACTTTTGACTCATTGTGGAAACAAATCATAAGAATTGGCACAAAATCCTGCAAAACATGATAGATCTTGAGTTAACAGCAACTGAATTGAGAGGATCCTTAAAGGATAACTAGAAAAAAGGAAGGAATGAAGGCTTCTAAGTGCCTTCACCTCCACGAAATAGAGACAGTATCTAAAGATAATGTATCCAACAGTTTCCAAAGCCAAGTTGCTCAGTTGCCTTTCTGAAAAGGACTATATGAATAAGTTACTAAACACTCCCAGGGACAGTCTCTTTCCTAGAAGCTGATAAACAGGGAAGAATCAGTAGCATTTTACAATTCCCAGGGCAGAAACAGATCTTTATGACAGTAGAACAAATATAGAGACAAGTATCTGCACCCAGACTGATGGGAGTTAACCTAGCCACCCTTTCTCCCCCAAAAGTCAAACCCGAATTTGATCAAAACTCTAGCAATAATGACTAAATTCTAGCACATGAAGAGAACAGAGACATATTAACGACACAAGAAGTGGCACGTGTCTATAGGACACTACACAGGTAACTTGGGTCCTATCAATTATAATGGGATAGAAGAAATTCAAAGGGCGTATCATCAAAACACAGTATTGTCTTTATTGTATTTGTATTACACTTGGAGAAAACTTTAATAAAATGATAATACAAAGAAAATGGGGGAGAGGAGAGGGGAGGAGAGGGTTAGGGAAAGGAAGGAGAGGGGGAGGGGAGGGAAGGTACAGGAGGGAAGGGGAAGGAAGGGAAGGTGATGTAGGAAAGTTAAGGAAAGCATGACTATTGGAACAGAATGTTGGAGCTGCTGATCCGACTGAGTTCACATAAAAGTGCCTGGAAAAGAAGTGATTCACCCCATGGGCAAATTTTAAGATGGTTAGTATGACTCTGCCACTTTGCTACACTAGCCTTATATAACTTCCTTCCTTCTGTTTCTTCCATCCTTATTTGATAGGACAGTCTCTCTATTAGTTAGGCTACTATCATGCTAGGTAAGGCAAAAGGTTCCCTATATTCTTGGAAAGCGCTGCCACCTGAGACGGGTGACAGTGCAAAGTTTTAGACACTGAGTAACCTGCATCCAACAACTTGCAAGAAAACAGAGAACTCTAGTCTTCTTGCTGACCTCAAGCAACCAGAATGAGCACCCAGGGTCTGGCAGAAGAGCTCATTCCTGTCACACACCTGCAGTTCAGACAGGTGCGGCATCCCTACCTGAACCTGCACGGGATCTGTAAAATAATACATTGTTTAAAGCCACAGAGAGTGAGCTAATTAGTTATGCAGAAATGGAAAACCAATACCTGTTCCTTACACACGAATACGTTAAATCTTAGGTGCCTAAAACAGGGAGACTGAGACAGGGGAGGAGGGTTATTCGTGGGTTGATTATTCGTTGTTCCTTTCCTTATTAGCAGCTGCAGCTTAAACAAAAGAACAACATTTGGCGCCCTGGACGTGGGAAGGCTCTGCCCTTGGTACCCCCCTCCACGTCCCGCTGGCGGGTACGTGTTGGGCCAAGGACATCCTTATCACGCGAATAAACAACCCACATTCCAGATCACCGGTTTGCTGGATTCTACATACAACACCGGACCCAATTCGGTAAGGCTACCCCTTTCAGTCAGCGTAAACGTCTCCCTGAACCCGAGGGACTGACCGTTGATCGTCCGGCACCCCTCTGGTGTTCTTGGAGGCGGGGGAGCACCCGGCCACGACCTTCACGGTTACGGTCGACCCCCTTCGCCGACAATCTCTCTTGGCTTACTTCCTAAGGGTGGTCCCATCAGTAGCTACTTGCTCCCTTGGCGGTTAGTCGCTGCGCTGCGGGACTGTGGGATTTTCTGTTTTCTTTTTCTTCTTCGGGACAGCTGAGTCCCTGTTCAGACCCAGGGTCTATCGGGCTAAGGCCCCTCGGTACCCCCCCGGGCTGACGAGCATCCGGAGAGGGGCTTTTACCGGTTTTTAACTTTTTCACCCATGGGGAATAAGCCAACTAAGGAAATAAGCCCATCCACACCACTGGGATGTCTTTTAGAAAACTTAAAACCCTTCAACCTAATGCCGTTAATTAAGGCATCTAGACTCACATATCTCAGTACTAAAAAATGGCCTAGGTATTCCTTAGAAAACCAGTCTCACTGGCCCCCAAACGGGACATTAGACCCCGAGGTTTTACGGGACTTATCTAACTTCTGTCAGCAAACCGGAAAATGGAAGGAGTTACCTTATGTACAGGCTTTTTTCTATCTATCTGCTAAACACTCTCTCTCTCCCTCCTCATCCCCAATTCTTCTGGCTATGGAATCTAAGCCTGAATTAAATCTTATAGACTTGGATCCAGCTGATGAACCTCCACCGGTTCGCCTTCACCCTTCAGCTGCGCCTTCTAAAGCTT